CACAGAGCCTGGTACATATTAAGTTTTCAAAAAACACAAAGTGGATTGAAATTGATGCTGAATTCATTTGGGGAAGAAAGGAGAAATGATAGTAACCACCTTGAAACGACAGAGTACAGCAAGAGATAATATGTTGGTTAGAGGTATGAGGTGGTGTCAGTTCCTAACATATAAAGGAATCTAGTCTAACATAAAAGGAATGCTTTCTGGGGCACCTGGGTGGCTCAGTCGGTTAAGCATCCAACTTCGGCTCAGGTCACCATCTCGCATCTATGAGTTCGAGCTCTACTTCAGGCTCTGTGCTATCAGCTCAGAGCCTGGATCTCTGCGCTATCAGCTCAGAGCCTGGATCTCTGCCCCTCCCCCACTCATGCTTTGTCTCTGTTTCAAAAATGAATAATTGTTAAAATTTTTCTTAAAAAGGAATGCTTTCTCCCTTTTCTAGTAATAATGACTTCGCATTCTAAATATGCTCTAAAGGAAGAGGAGAATACTGGTAATTGTCAAGTAAGTCACCTTCTCACCTAGACAAAAAAATATGTTTTTGAGGGACTAGCTTTTGTTTATAAGCAGAATTGATAAAATAAAATACAGAACTTGTCCTTTGTAATTAATTTTATTTAGTTCTAAATAGTACAAGACTGAAGGGTAAGTCTTTCACTTCCTTTCAATTCTTCCTTCTAGTTAGAGGTCTACTTGTGTGGCCATTGTGATTGGGCAACTTTTTTTTAACATTTTATTTTATTTTATTTTTGAGAGAGAGAGGTGTGAGTAAGGGAGAGGGGCAGAAGGAGAGAGGGAGTAAGTTAGAGAGAAAGAGAGACAGAGAGAGAGAATGAATATCTTAAGCAGGCTCCATGGCGAGCATGGAGCCTGACATGAGATTAAATCCCACGGTCCTGGGATCATGACCTGAACTGAAATCAAGAGTTGGACACTCAACCGACTGAGCCACCCAAGTGCCCTGATAATTGGGCAACTTAAAAGAAGGGTATTCCTGACTTAGCTCACGACATCATTCCCTGGGCAGAAGAAGTAGGACAACCTCAAGTATTTGCCATGATGGAGGAAGATGTATGTGGGGGAGGTGGGGAGAATGTTGTGTTGCTAACTGACAAGTACCAATAGGCCTGTCCCACCAACAGCTTCCACCAATCTACCATCAATTTCACTGTTTAATATGGAACCCCCCCCCATTAGGATCACCCATCAGCATATACAGAGCCTTTGGAAGAATGAGACCTACAACTCATAGCTTTCAACAGGGAGTGCAATTAGGAGTAGGAAAGGAAGTGGTTCAAAAGTGGATCTGAGACTACTCTTGGGATCAGCATGAAGCATGACTCTGAAGCTTGGCAAAGACAACGGGGAAAAGACACTCAAGTGATTGCTTCACAGTCTTGCCAAGGGCTCCATTCCCACTCCTTTTAGAGGACGCCTTTCCCCTTCTGAGATTCCCCCAGGCACCAGGTAAACAGGTAGAAAATCTCCTTCTAAGCCCTAGTGGCAGCAACGTCTGTTGGCTCTGTGTCACATTCCTTTCCAGACTTCACAGGCCTCAGGTTACAAAGGTCTCATTGCACAATTCCTTCGGAGAGCGGGCATGGAGGCTGGGCTGGGATAAAGGAGAGTCCTTTATGTGTCAGAGATCCTGGCGTGGCCAGATGCCAAGGCAGCCCAGGTGGTGGCAGCAAGAGAAAGAATCAAATGCCTTGATCTCTGGCAAAGTAGCTTTCTTTGCTTGCTTTTTTTTTTTTTCCTCCCAAAGCTGTTAAATAAAACTTACCAGGATGCATCTTCTTGAGTAATTTGAAACATTTCAAAAGTTCACTTGGCATACCTATGCTTTAGTTTACTGGAGAGATGAGAATGCAAAACCCACAACGAAGAATCTGAAACTAAAGCTCTTTTTATCCCTCCATTTTTCACAATCAGCTTTCTCGTGAAGTTTTATGCTGTGTGGTATGTGCAAAATTACTCAATATATTACACAACCTTTGAAATTAATATGGAAGCTGAAAGACATCACCATAGCCCATTTAAGCCTTATGCCATGATGGAATGTTCTTTTCTATTGGTGATAATTTAATAATTCTCTTTTATTAAAGATAATCTGCATGGATAGCTAGAACCATATGGAAGTTCCTTGTGGGACATACATGTTTCCGTTGGTTAAAAAACAATCTAGCAGCCTAGAAAATATTCATCAGATCTTTGGCACTGATGACTATGAAAGTGAGATCTATATTTATATTTAGCAATTCTTCATTTCATTTTCTTTCAGATTTTGGGACTTTAGACAAATATTAATGTATTTGCAATGAGTTGAATTGGAAAAAGTTCTGAGTATCTGTATCCAGGGAGTGCTGGGCTCAGACTTGCAGGTTAATTAGAGATGCAAGACATATACAGCTCTACATAAAACAAACTCTGGACAAATCTAAGGCAGCTTATAAGTTATCAAGATAATTCCAAATATTAATTCATAGGAAAAGTCAGGAAAGCCTCATAAAAGAGGTACATTAGGTAGTAAGGATAGGTCAGTTACCACAGATAGAGTAATAGCCACACACCTCCCAGAGGAAGTATTCACTCATACATACATCTATGGAGTATACATATCTATGATATATATCACAGAGTATACACACACATACACATAAACAAAGTGATCTAGCTAAACTGGAAAAGGCAAAGCTACAGAAAGTCTGCATATTTATCAAAAAGCAAAAAGGTTGTTAATGCTATAAATGCCTTTTTTTTCTTTTCTTTTTTTTTTTTTCAGTAAACTACTTCTAATCAGGCCTCAAGGTAGAATAACCTGTCAATTTCCCTGGATATATTTTAATTGCTATCTCAGCCTTTTGGGTGGGGTCTTGGATACTTTTCTTGACCTTGACCAAAGCTTGTTCTATTTGGAGCTGTAAAGGCTAGGAGAGCTTTGGTGACGAGTGCCACATACATAGAGTACTTGAATTTACTAACAACCACTCCAAGGGGATAAACCGGTATTTCCTTTCTTAGGATATTCTAAAATAGGTCAGATATGAACCAGTTCATTCCTTCAGCATGAAGTGGGGGCAGGGAAGATTGAACACCAGGGTGAGAGTGAGAAAGCTTAACCTCTGTGTCCCACGCGAGTACTAGCCAGCTTAACGGCCTGAGTCAAGACACAAACTCTTTTTGGGGCGCCTGGGTGGCTTAGTCGGTTAAGCGTCCGACTTTCGCTTGGGTCATGATCTCGGGGTTCGTGGGTTCGAGCCCCGCGTCGGGCTCTGTGCTGACTGCCAGCTCAGAGCCTGGAGCCTATTTCAGAGTCTGTATCTCCCTCTCTCTCTGACCCTCCCCTGCTCACGCTGTCTCTCTCTCTCCTAGAAATAAATAAAAATATTAAAAAAAAAAAAAAAGACACAAACTCTTTTTGCTGGATCCCTCTTCTAGAAATGAGGACGTTGGAATATACGATCTCTTAGCTTCCCTCCAACTCTAAACTTCCATGGTATGTGACTAACACAATGATCAGAGAACATTATAGTCAAGGAATATAAATGTAGACGAGTTAGGACATTGTGTTCTTCAGATATTATTTTAGGTTAAACCTAAACTTAGTTTTCAATAACTATGAATGAAGTCTAAATGTTGGACTGATGAAGATTTAATTTTCAAGGACCTAAGAAGTTGGATCATAATGTAATTGTGAAAACCATGGTGGCTTCTCTATAGGGAAGCTGAATATATACTAGAGTTAATGTACAAGTACAATCCTGGACCTCTGGATTTATTGACGTGTTTTGGGGTTATTATTACTTTTATAGTGTAGAGAGTATTGGTCTTACTGCTGAGATATATTTATTCCTGATGAGTTGGAGATCACAGTGTGTTAAAATTGTGTCTGTGGTTAGAGAGTGAGTCTCCCCTCCCCTGGTCTATTGCTGTTGGGGTCCCCTGTGGGTAAGTAATCTTCCTGTCAGAACACTGGACTGCTGCTTCCACTGAGGGAATGTGGCAATAAACTTACTTAGCTCCTGTGGGCAGATCTCAGCGTGCCTGCCTGAACAGCCCTGTACTCGGCTCCGGGGTCGCCGTGTGCTGAGACACGGAGGGAGGCCAATGGAGATGAGTCAGGACCTGGCACTCACCCCGTGCTCCGCCCTACTGGTAAACAGAGCAGCTGTTTGCCATCACTTGAGCCTCTCAGGGCCCCAAGACTCCAGGAAGAAACAAATACTTTAGAAGCCAAAACCCCAAGGCAAGGTAAAGAAAACAGAAATGTCTGCATCCCCAGCGATGATTTCACTGGCTGAGTTCTTTGGAGGGGGAGGAGCAGTAGATGGTTCCAGCTGAGCTGTTTTACCTGCTTCTCAACCGTAAGGCCCTTCTCTTTCGCTGTTTATAGGAGATGATAGCCTTTTGCCTTTTAAGCCTTGAAATTTTAAAACCAGACTTTAAAAATAAGCTTGGTTGCTAACCCATAATAAATTTATTTCTCCTCTTTTTATTATTTTTGTTTCTATCTTTATACTATCTATTAAAATACTTCTTCCAGTTCTTTCAGTTAACTTATTTTTTGTTAAGTTTATTCTTCCCTTTCAATATCGGGAAGAAGCTATTAAAAGAATAAACATCACCAGGCAATAAATGTAAACTACTCTACAAAGCAATTTTACACTGACTTCTTGAGGTAACTGTTTCTTTTGCATTTTTGCCGTGGTTGCAGACACCAGTGAAGGGCTACAATCTTGGAAATATCCTCATCTGGCTTCATGACAATAAATAAGTCTGGCTATTGGGAGGATACACCAAAGCTCGCTTTCTGGTGGGAATGCCTTTGGCCTTTTTCTGATCGTTGGGAACCTTTACTGTAAAGTATGTGGTACGTAGTCTCTATGTTTACCCTATTATGCCTAAGCCTGGAAACACACTCAGATATCTTGTGGTCCTCTCCTCTTATTTTTTAGATTCCAGCAATTTCTATTCTAAGCTTAGCAGCTGTTACATACCTGAACTGGAGGCATGGCTAGCTAATTCCTCCTAGCTCTGTCCGGTAGTGTCTCGTCTCTAATATGTCAATAGCTGAACGTCCCGTGACTTTCTTCTCAGTAGCCAATTTTGAGCTTGGGCTGGATATTGTGATGTCACAGAGTAGAATCCTTGCTCCCCCCAAAGGCCTAGCTGAGGGCCTCTGGCTTCAGTATTTTCTGTCTTGCCCATGGCGGAAGGTTGGGAAGGTTAATCCCTTTTATTTGGTAACTGACCCATTGAGTTATAGTCTTACTGTGAACAGAGACCTTAAAGACCTTGTGACTAGATTCTAATCTAACTTACTTATTTTACAGATGAGGACATTTCGATTCTAGGTAGTTCCTGGCAGAGCTAAACCTAGAACCCAGCTGCTCTCAGGGTTAGCCCCCTGTCCTTCTGAACACATTGTACTCATGATGGGCTCTACTCTCTGGAGTTTATCAATATCATTGTTCTCTGGTAGGCAGCTCATTGGTTGATTCTTACCTGAATCCACCCATGACAAGAGACCATTCAGATAATGTGCATCATAGGAAGAGAATAGAGTCTCAGGAAAGATCATTAGTTTTTCAAAAAATCTATAGGTACCAGAAATAGCTAACTTTGGTTCCAGCCCTAGCTCAGAAATTCTGAGCCACCTGATCAATTCTAGATTAACAAGTAATGTGTCTTCTGAGTAACTAATGTTTCCAATGAGATTTAATGATAAGGAAGAATCCTCAGCCCAGGATTAGTGTTGGCTGCAATGCCCTGCAAGGTTCTATTGTTTGTTGAGGAGAGAATGGGAAAGAATAGGCTTTCACTGGAATTTAACTCTCTCTCATATCCTCCACCTTTTCAAGATACTGTCCCCATATGGCATTAAAAAATTTCCTGCATTGCATGAGATGACTTGTACCTGTGAAGCCTGAGAATTGTACTTGCAAAATCTCTCAAGTGGGGAGCATATATTATATTTTTATAACACCAACAACTAACATTTGATATCATGTTTTAGCATTTACAAGCCATTTCCACATATTTCACTTAATCTTCACAGCTCAGTGAGGTAAACAGTATATTATTTTTAGTACAATTTTATGAGTGAGAAAATTATAGCTCAGAGAGAGGTTGTGACTTGCACAAGATCACAAAGCTAATTAAGTGGAAATGGTAACATCAACTACAAATCAGATCTTCCAACCAATCATTTTCCCTCCTGCAGACAGGCCTTCCCCAGGGTGGGAGGAATTGTCATGTGGTCCTGAAACACACTTGAAGGTAATTGCATTAAGCAACCTTTGGTTAACAAAGAAGAAATTATTTCTCTGGGCCATAAATACTGCTTTGCTAACCTCCTACATGTCTCAATAAAAACTTAGAGAAATGGTTAATGAACACAAATTTCAAACTTTAAAATAATCTAAGCATTGCCCTTCTACCTGACAGTTCCACATCTGAGAATTCTCCTAAGGGAATCATCATGGATATGAATAATATTTAGCTATAAGAGGTTCTTTGAAGCATTGTTTATAATAGAAAACAAATTAAAAGTTCAATATTAGAAAAGTAGTAAAATGGATTATGCTTAACTCAGGAAAATAATGTTGTAGGTGAAGTTTTCCAGAACTTTATTCATTCATGTGCTATCTTTGGAATATCACTATCTGCACTAATACCAACTGAATATCTTCTTTATTTTTAAATTTATCTTTTTTTTCAAATTTTTGGGGCGCCTGGGTGGCTCAGTTGGCTGAAGCGTCTGACTTCAGCTCAGGACATGATCTCATGGTCCATGAGTTCGAGCCCCACATCAGTCTCTGTGCTGACAGCTCAGATCCTGGAGCCTGCCTCCAATTCTGTGTCTCCCTCTCTCTGCCCTTTCCCCAGCTCATGCTCAGTCTCAAAAATAAAAAACACTAAGTTCTTCAAAAAATTTTTTATTTAAACTCTAGTTAGTTAACATACAGTACAATATTGGTTTCAGAAGTAACATCCAGTGATTCATCACTTACATACAACACCCAGTGCTCATCATAACAAGTAATCCCCATCACCAATTTAATACCCATCACCAATCTAGCCCAGCCCCCTCCATCAACCCTCAGTTGTTCTCTATGGTTAAGAGTCTCATGTAGTTTGTTTCCCTCTCTTCTCTTTCCCACCTTCCCATCTGTTCATTGTTTTGTTTCTTAAATTCCAAATATGAGTGAAATTGTCTGGTATTTGTCTTTCTCTGACTGACTTCTTTTGCTTTGCATAATACACTGTAGCTTGATCCATGTTATTGCAAATAGCAAGATTTCATTCTTTTTGATGGCTGAGTGATATTCCATTTTATACATGTACCATTTCTTCTTTATCCATTCTTTAGTCGATGGACATTTGGGCTCTCTCCATAGTTGTGCTCTCTCTATTGTTGATAATGCTGCTATACACATCGGAGTGCATGTACCCCTTTGAATCTGTATTTTTGTATCCTTTGGGCAAATACCTAGTAGTGCAATTGTTGGATCTTAGGGTAGCTCTATTTTTAACTTTTTGAGGAACCTCCATGCTGTTCTCCAGAATGGCTGCACCCAATGCATTCCTACCACCAGTGCAATAGGGTTCCCCTTTCTCTGCATCCTCACCAACACCTGTTGTTTCTTGTGTTGTTAATTTTAGCTATTCTGACAGTTGTGAGGTGGTATCTCATCAAGGTCTAGATTTGTATTTCCCTGATGATGAGTGATGTTGAGCATCTTTTCATGTGTCTGTTAGCACTCTGGATGTTATTGGAAAAGTGTCTTCTGCTCATTTCTTTTTGTTGTTGTTGTTTAGTTTTTGTTTTGTTTTGTTTTTTAACCTTCTCTTTTTCTTTATTTCAGAGCAAAATATTCAGTTTTTTTTCTTTTTTTCTCTCATAGTTTATTGTCAAGTTGGTTTCCATATAACACCCAGTGCTCATCCCCACAAGTGCCCTCCTCCATGCCCATCACCCTCCTTCCCCTTCCCCCCACCCCCATCAGCCCTCAGTTTGTTCTCAGCTTCAAGAGTCTCTCATGGTTTGCCTCCCTCCCTCTCCCCAACTATCTTCCCCTCTCTACTCCACCATGGTCCTCCATTAAGTTTCTCCTAATCCACCTATAAGTGAAAACATATGGTATACGTCTGTCTCTGCCTGACTTACTTCGCTCAGCATAACACCCTCAAGTTCCATCCACATTGCTACAATGTGATGTATCACATTGATTGATTTGCAAATATTGAACCAGCCCCGTAACCCAGGAATGAATCCCACTTGATCATGGTGGATAATTCTTTATATGTGCTGTTGCATTCGATTTGAAAGTATCTTGCTGAGAATTTTTGCATTTGTATTCATCAAGGATATTGGCCTGTAGTTCTTTTTTTTTTTTTTTTTTTTTGCTGGGTCTCTGTCTGGTTTGGGAATCAAAGTGATGCTGGCTTTGTAGAATGAGTCTGGAAGTTTTCTTTCCATTGCTATTTTTTGGAATAGCTTGAGAAGAATGGGTGTTAATTCTGTTTTAAATGTCTGGTAAAATTCCCCAGGGAAGCCATCTGGCCCAGAGCTTTTATTTTTTGGGAGATTTTTGATAACTGATTCAATTTCTTCACTAGTTATGGGTCTGTTCAGATTTTCTATCTCTTCCTGTGTGAATTTTGATAGTGTGTGTTTGCTTAGGAATTGTCCATTTCTTCTAAGTTGTCCAGTTTTTCATAGTATTCCCTGATAATTGCTTGTATTTCTGAGTGGTTGGTTGTAATAAGTCCATTTTCATTCATAATTTTTTATATTTGGGTGCTCTCTCTTTTCTTTTTGTGAAGCCTGGCTAGAGGTTTATAAATTTTGTTTATTTTTTCAAAAACCCAATTCTTGGTTTCATTGATCTGTTCAATTGTTTTTTGGATTTTATTGTTTATTTCTGCCCTGGTTTTTATTATTTCTCTTCTTCTGCTGGGTTTGGGGTGCTCTTGTTCCTCATCTTCTAGTTCCTTTTGGTGCGCTCTTAGTTTTTGTATTTGCACTTTTTCTAATTTCTTGAAATAGGCCTGGAGAGCAATGTACTCTCCTCTTATGACTGCCTTTGCCGCATCCCGTAGAGTTTGGGTTGTTGTATTTTCATTCTCATTTGTTTCCATATATTTTAAAATTTCTTTTCTAATTGCCTGATTGGCCCATTCGTTCTTTAGTAGGATGTTCTTTAACCTCCATGTTTTTGGAGGTTTTCCAGACTTTTTCCTGTGGTAGTTTTCAAGTTTCATAACGTTGTGATCTGAAAGTGTGCATGGTATGATCTCCATTATTTTATATTTATTGAGGGTTGATTTATGACCCAGTATGTGATCTATCTTGGAGAATGTGCCATGTGCACTTGAGAAGAATGTGAATTCCATAGCCTCAGGATGTAGAGTTCTGAATATATCTGTCAAATCCATCTGGTCCAATGTGTCATTCACATCCATTGTTTCTTTAGTGATTTTCTGTCTAGTTAATCTATCAATTGATGTATATGGAGTATTAAAATCCCCTGAAATTAGCACATTCTTATCCATAAGATTGTTTTTGTTTGTGATTAATTGTTTTATGTATTTGGGTGCTCCCATAGGCAGTGTGTAGACATTTATAATTGTTAGCTCTTTCTGATAGATAGACCCTGTAATTATTATATAATGCCCTCTTCCTCCCTTGTTACTACCTTTATTTTAAAGTCCAGTTTTTCTGATATAAGTATGGCTACTCCAGCTTTCTTCTGACTTCCTGTAGCATGATAGATATTTCCCCATCCCCTTACTTTCAATCTGAAGGTGTCCTCAGGTCTAAAATGAGTCTCTTGTAGCAGAAAATAGATGGATTTTGTTTTTTTTATCCATTCTGCTACCCTATGTCTTTTGATTGGAGCATTTAGTTCATTTACATTCAGTGTTATTATTGAAAAATATAGGTTTAGAGTCAGTGTGTTCTCTGTAGGATTCCTGCTTGTGGTGGTGTCTCTGGTACCTTGCGTTCCTTGCAACATTTCCCTCAGAGCGTCCCCCTCGGGATTTCTTGTAGCGCTGGCTTAGTGGTGATGAATTCTTTCAATTTT